AATGCCGAGACAATCAGACAGCAAGATAAAGCTGATTTGAAAAGGACTGAAACATTGAAAAGCGATATTTATATATGTCTGTGTATTTTCACATTCTCATTATGTGGGAGGAAAAGCTCTTATCTTGGGTTCTAGAGACCCCTGTGAGCATGGGGCTCCCGGACGTCCCTATGGGCCTACATGGCCCACCCCTGTAACCCTTTGCCTGCACCTTGTTCTCATCCTGATTAAGGTGAACACCTCTCCCCCATCCTTCTCCATAGGCCAGTCATGGAAGTGCCCTGTGACAAGCCTTTCCCAGAGGAGCAAGCTCGCCTCTACCTGCGGGACATCATCCTGGGCCTAGAGTACTGTGAGTGAGGGGCTGCCTGCCCTCTGGAACTGAGGCCTGGGGATATGGGAGCCTGCAGGGTCTAGGCTGAGCAGGTTCTAAGCAGTGCCTGTCAGTCAGCGCTGGTCTGCCAATCAGCTCCAGTGTGGGCGGGGCAAGAAGCTGTCTGCCCGCCCTCCCCCCCTCCCTGGGGCCTGAACAGGATGCGGTGAAGGGAGACTTCGCCCTGCATGCACTGACTAGGTCCTTTGTAGCACCTGGTCTTCACCTGTATGTCGGCCTGCACCTTCGGTGTTTATTCTTTCTCTCTGCTGAGTTCTTAGCCAAGCTTAGCCTCTCCTCAGGGCCTCAAGAGATGTGGGAAGGAAGGGATATATGTCCTGCTGCTCTGGAGGAGTCTGTCTTGGCATGGGGCCCTGGGGGTGCTGTCTGCGAGGGTTCAGCTGAGAGGGGCCTTAGAGTGATGGATGAGAGGCAAGAAGGAGGTTAGCTTAAGCTCTATCTCTGAAATTAATTTACTTATCCTCTCACTCACTCACTCATTCATTCATTCATGTATGAGTACCTCCTGAGTGCGGGCTGCAGGCACAGAGGTGTCAAAGACCTAGACCTGCCCTCAGAGATCTGACAGCCTAATTGGAGGAATGGGAACCTGAGCAGACAAAGTATATTAGGGGAGGGGCCTTTAAAACATTCATAGAAAATGCACATTAGGGGGAACCAGCAGTTATTGTAATGGCTATGTCGCTGGACTTCCACGTAGTCGACCACGGTTCGCGTCTCGGACCTGGTGGCTTAGAACTCACACCGGGCATGTGTGCATGCATGCCCAAGATCCCAAGAGGAGAATGGAGGAGAAAGGATTGCGGCGTGACCATTCCCCCTGGGGGTGATTTCTCGCTTTCTGTCTCTATGTCTCTCCCTGTCTGTCTGGCGAGCACACGTGCCCTATAGCGAAAACCTCTCAAAAAAAAAAAAAAAGAAAAGAAAAGAAAAGAAAATGCACATTAGGAAAAATTACGTATGGGTTTCAAATTTTTCATTTATTTTATTTTCAAAATAAATGTATATTTTTGAAAGAGTTATTTATTCATTTAATTTAGTTCATTATTATTAGTTTTAAAAAAATTTGACCTGAGAGAGACACACAGAGAGAGAGAAAGGGAAAGTGAGAAAGCAAGCTGCCAGGTCCAGGACTCGAACCGTAGTCGGCCATGTGGGAGTCCAGCACCCCAATCACCATGCCTCCTACTGTCCCCTAGACTTGTATTTTTAATTCCATTTTTTCACAACCTTTTTGAAGTCCCTCATATCATGTGGTGCCTGCCAAGGTCTGGGAGGCACAGAGTCTGTTAGCGTACCAGGGGCTGGGGAGACTCCCTGGAAGAGCCACTGTGACCAGGGCCCTGAAGGGTGAGTAGGAGTTTATTGGCAAGGTTTTGGGGGTGGAAGACAGTATACCAGACAGAGGCACAGAAGGGAGTAGAGAGCATATTATCCCAGGACAGGGAGAAGTTCAGTCTGACTGAAGCATACAGTGGACTTCTGGAACTGGGGTGGTTAGCGAAGGACGACGCTGGAGACACTGTCCAGGGCCCCACGCACTCCGCTCTGATGACTTCATCCTGCTGCATCGTGAGGCTCTGAGCGCTCTGAGCAGGGGAGGGGCATGATGGGATTTGCGTCTTAGAAAGCTCTGTCTGGCAGCTGTGTGGTGGCTGGATCGGAGGGCGAGGGAGGGGCTGTGTCTGTAGCCCAAGTGACAGATGGTGAGGCCTGGATTAGGGCAGTGACAGTGGGGAGGGGAAGGGAAGAAGGTGAGGTGTCCAGCCAGAGTGATTGACATCTATGGTTCTGCCCTAAGTTAGGGACCAGGGGTGCTGCCCATCTCGCCAACATCTTAGCTTGGTTTACCAGGAGCATTTTTCCCCTCGAGGGCACCCATGCTCACTAGAAAGAGACAGAGGGAGAGAGGAGAAAGCATCTCCCATGGGGAGTGGCCATGCGGTAATCCCTCTTCATTTCTCCCTCCTGTTGGGATTTTGGGCACACTTGCATGTGTGCCTGGCATGTTTGTCAAGGTGCTGGGTCAGGGCCTCAGACCTCATGGTCGGCCATGTGGGATCCAGCTGCCTTAACCACTAGGCCATGGAGCTAGCCTGTTGGGAGTGTTTTCTGTTCCTGGGGGAATAGGGTGGGGAGTCAGCTGAGGTCTGACCTGGAGTGACAGGAGCAGGACTGTCTTTATCCTGCTCAGGCCTTTCCAATGCCCTCACATAAATATTCACTTTGTACATTTGGGGAAACTGAGGCACAGGTGGGAAGAGCTTTGTAGAAAGTCCCTAACGAGGGCCTAGGGGCCTGGGACGCGAAGGAGACATCCTGCCCTGGGTATGATCAGTGGCAGGAACAGCCCTGCACCAGCTTAGCTCTGCCCTGTACCAGGTGGCTCCACCCATTTCCTTTCTGGGCCGCTCTCCAGCTGAGGCCTGTGATCTGTCACCTCCTAACCACCCCCTGCACACCCCACCCTCCACCCAAACTAGCTCATCTCGTTTGAGTTTTGGTCAGGACCCAGCTAATCACAAATGCTCCCCTGGAGGGGGTTGGTAATGCCAGGGGCTGGGCAGGCAGGTGCAAGGAGCACTGGGGCACTGAACCGGCCTTGAGATTCTGGCCCCGAGAAGGGAGAGCTGGCCCAGCTGCAGTGGTGCCGCTCTGTGGTGTTGGAGCCATATGGAAGACTGGGGTTTGGTTCCCGGGTCAGCCTGCCTGACTGGGAGGGCTGAGGGAGGACTGGAGCACAGGACCCCATTGAAGGGGCTTGTCTTCCTCCGACTCTCTCATGAGATAAGTAAATAAATACACCTGAAAAACAAAAGAAGAATGAGCGAGCTGAGGCTCCCCTGAGAGGGCCTGACGGGGAGGTCCGGCCGGATTCTCAGTAACGGGGCAAGTACAGCAGTGCAGCTGGTGAGAAGCCATCGGGTCTGGGATGCATCTTAGAGTTGAGCTCTCGGGACTTGCTGAGGAATTGGACGTGAGGTGTGAGAGAAGGAAGAGGGTGAGCATGATAAGGAGGTGTTTGCAGCTAGTAATGGATCTTCAGCTGAGTGGGAAAGACTTGGGGAGAAGCAGGGGTCTTTTGTTTGTTTTTGTCAGTGGTGGGGGTTGCAGGCAGAGAAAACATGTTCTGAATTAGACATATTATTGTGATAGATTAATATATATATGTATGTGTGTGTATATATATATACTTTTTAAAAGAATTATTTCATTTTATTTTTTATTGTTATTACTATTTTTTAAAATTTGCTATAGGGCATGTGCATTCAGCAGAGAGAGAGAGAGAGAGAAAGATAGAAAGCAAAGATTTGGGATTTAAACTGCAGTGAGCCATGTGGGAGTCCAGAGCCTTAACCACCATGTCACTTGCTGTCCCCAATTGAGTTATCTTTTTTAAAAAGAATTTTAATTGCCAGAGGGTACATGCATTGACCAGGGAGATACAGAGAGAAAAGGAGAGGAGAGCGGGAGACCAGCGGTTGTGTAATGGCTATGTCACTGGACTCCCACGTAGTCGACCGTGGTTCACGTCCCGGACCCAGTGGTTTAAAACTCACACACATATATATATATATATGTGTGCGTGCGTGCCCACCCAAGATCCCAAGAGGAGAATGGTGAGTGGCCATCCCCCCAGGGGGTGATTTCTCACTTTCTGTCTCTCTCTGTCTGGCGAGCGCATGCGCCCTATAGCAAAAAAAAAAAGAAAAAAGAAAAAAAAAAAGAAAGAAAGAAAAGAAAAGAAAAGGAGAGGAGGGGAAGAAAGCACCCTCATTCTCTATCCTGTCGGGATTTGGGGCATGCACAGATGCCTGGAATGTTTTTCAAGCTGCCAGAGTGGATTCAAACCACAGACGACCATATGGGATTTGGCTCCTTTCACCACTAGGCTCTGAGGCCGGCCTGAGATACATGTTGATACGTATGTGCAGATGGATGTCCACCTATGGAGATGTCTCCTGGATAGCCACCAATGTGAGGATAGAGAGGCTGGAGTTAGGGGAGAGGCTAGACTTGAGATGAGGCGTTGTAACCACTTTCCCTGGCTAGATACACAGCCCCGATCCTCTGCTCTCGTGGGGAGATGTCACGTGCCCTGTGTGTGCCTCGTGCACAGTGGGCTACCAAGGACCATTGGCTTCCTGCTGCTTGCCACGTGGCTCTCGCTGATTGCCACGTGGCTCTCGCTCCTACCGCCAGCCCTCCTCTGCTCCTCCTCGCTCTTCCCCTCTCTTCCCTGTCTTATCTCCTTTCCAGCCTCCTGGGGTCTGCTGGTCCAGGGGAAGGTATTTGCTGAGGAGGGAGCCCACGGGTGGTAGCCACAGGTGAGGTTAGTTCTTTCTCTTAGGGACCTCTCTGACCATCTCAGCCTGAGCCGCCTGTCCCTTCCTAGTGCTACTGGACACAGGAAGTGAGGCAGGCCCCAGTCTACCATGCCATTTCCGATTCCACTTCATCTACCAAAGGCTAATCTTCACCCCAGCCGTATTCGCCTTGGTAGTTCTGAGGCCCAGGGATGCCCTCCCTCTCTGAGACATTATCAGTTCAGATGGCTAGGGCTGAGACAGCGTCTCCATAGGATACCACGGGCCCGGCAGTCCAACCTCAGCCCTTGGAGCAGACATATCTCAGACCGGATCTGGTAAGGAATGGAACCGAGGAAAGGTTTGGGTAGGCTTTGGACCACAGATAACATTTCTATGGGGAGGGCAGAGATGGGCTGGGGAGAAACCCCCTTTCCTGGGGTTTGTGGTAGTGTGGTAGTTAGGGTGCTGGACCCCCACATGGCTGACCGTGGTTCAAGTCCTGGACCTGGTGGCTTGCTTTCTCACTTTCCCTTTCTCTTTCTCTGGTCCAATTAAAGAAAATAATGATAGTGAATAAAATTAAATAAATAATTCTTTT